CCCGAAGTTTCAGCCCCGCAGCTTTTATAGGTTTTGAGATGAAAGTGCGTGACAGACGCACACACAGTCACACAGACCCACAGACGCACAGACACACAGACACATGGGCACACAGAAAACTCCTCGTCAATATGCGTTTTCTGCATTGCACAGCTGCAAAAAACGCATAAAAACTCGGCTTGATTCGTTTCGGCCCATCTCATACACGAGCTGCAAAAAATTTTTTCTTTGAACGGCTGGTAGGGCTGCGGCACGGCGGGTAGTGGCTGTTTGGATGTGGAAGATGGAAGTGAGGATGGTACGTGACGAATTTCGGTCGTGGCAGGGGAAAGGAGCTGTGATAGAAGGACGTAAGAATGACTTCCATGACTGACAATGTTATATCGGCAATGTCTGGATTCGCATTCTCACCCATAGGAACACCGCAGATTTGGTTCAAGACAGCGCCGCCAAAACTTACGTAAGATTCACTCAGTATGATTTGGAGTAATGACTTAACCTCTCTGGAGCTGTAGGTGACGGTGCGAGGTGAGGTGTTGCTAGTAAACCAACAATTCGAATCAGAGGCCGCCAACCAGTCCATCCCAGCGTTGGAGAAGCACAAGTCAACAAGGTAGCGAAGACACTCCTGAATAACCCGTGAGGCAAAGTTGTGAAAAGGTTGCTGAAGTCGGCACTGTGTAGGTGTCCGATGGGGTCGTTGAAGGCAGCAAGCTTATTAACCACATCTAAGGAGCTGCGGACGCTGAAGTATACACTTCAACCTGTACGCTCAATAATTCTTATGCAATAATTGCGGAAATGAGAACGTGTGTGAGAATACGATGAGCTACCAATGCTAGAGGGCGTAGTGTAAATCAACGCGCACCAGGTATGAAACGGTACTGATAAGGATTTTTATGTAGTTTTGGTACAGCATGAAGAATAGGAACGCAGTTATCGACATCGGTGGTGCAATTTGAAATGAGCTTAATAGCGCCTTGTGAATGTTGATGAGATTCTCAGTGCTTTGTACCGTCGGACTGTAAACGGTATTGCCAGTATTCCTGCCAGAAGCTGTGTAACCCAGTTTATCACATAATAACTGGGCATAAAGTTTTTTACAAATAAAGATGTAGTTATTAGATGCTTTGTCAACAATGGTGATAATGAATTGATCATGTAAACATGTAAAGAGCGTAAGGCGGTACTGAACCCTGACCATGAAAATGGTGTACTACCCCGACAAGCGGTACTTCGCCATTGTAGAACAGCTAAAATCCCGCCTTTGAAATCCTCATAACGGTCAATCGTAAGTCGATGAGCGCGACTGTTCTTGCGAATGAAGTCATCAAGTGCAGAAGACACGTCCGTAAGTACATCTTCAAATCGGCGAAGAGTGGGTATTCTATAGCTAAAACCCTTGGACATGGCGGAACGTAATGTGGCGTTGGGAACTATATTCAAGCACCTTGTGACTATGCGTCCACAAGGTGGATAGATAAAGGGAGAAGATTCGCAGTGACATGAAGACTGGAGCAAGATGATTAATTGTGCGGGATTACTGTTTAAGGTGATTAAATGTGCGGGATGCTTCCTGTCCACGTGCAGTTTAAAAATTTCAAGCTCAGCCTCCCAGGCACGTGAGGTTCCCACGTACGGACAAGTAAAGATTTAGGCTAGAAAGTTGCTCACTCCGTAACTAGAAAAGCTGGGAGGCTGAAATTTGGGGAATGTTCCCTGTCCAACTTCAACTCAAAACTTTCAAACTCAGCTCCCAGCTATGCGTGGTACTCACTAAAGGGCGCATGAAAGTTCCTACGGGGAAACTACCAACTAGGAAGCCGGAAAAGCTAGAAAACTGGAATTATAAGGCAATATTTCCTGTCCAAGTACAAATTAAGTACTTCATACACAGCCTTGAGGTATGCGTGATTCTTGGGCACTTAAAAGT